TTTTCTGGTGAGAGGGAGAGTGATTAGTTAATGTGAATTCATGTTTATGAGAATGAGGTGCAAATATGTTTTTTTTTTTTTTATATATATACTCCCTCTTTAGTGATTTTCGGTAAATTTATTATTTGTCATTAGAAAAAATATATATATATATATATGTGTGTGTGTGTGTATCTCTATGTGTATATTTATAAATTTTTATCTAGGCGAGAGAGAAAATCGAAGAAAATGAGCGTAAATATTTTCAGTGGAGGGTAACGTACCTAGTTAATATCTTGGTGATAATGGGACTTCGAGTAATCAGTGTTATCTGCTCCATGAAAATTGTCATCTTTAAATGAAAGTTGTGAGTGACGCTTAATCTAGAAAAAAAAATGAAAGATGAAGATATCAAAACACATTACGAAAGTGAATACAATTTTCTGCAAGAAATTTGATAACTTGATAAGGGAATCACGTATCTTGTCTTAACTGCAGTGTTAATCAAAGTGATAATCCTACTTCTATAAGATAATAAATAAATAAATAAATGAATAATTAAATAAACTGTGCAAGTAATAGGAAGTAACAGGTGAGGCTGTGGGTATGTAGGTGGGAATATGTGCACGTGTATATATATATATATATATATATATATATATATATATATATATATATATATATATATATATATATATATACATATATATATACATATATATATATATATATATATATATATATATATATATATATATATATATATATATTTATATATATATATATATATATATATATATATATATATATATATATATATATATATATATGTGCGTGTGTGTGTATGTGTGTGTGTATGTGTGTGTGTGTGTGTGTGTGTGTGTGTGTGTGTGTGTGTGTGTGTGTGTGTGTGTGTGTGTGTGTGTGTGTGTGTGTGTATGTGTGTGTGTGTGTGCACATATATATACACATATATTAACAGATAAGGCAATCAAGTGTGTTGACCATGAGACAATCAAACAATCTATATTTGCTGATCGATGGAGGCAGACGCATATGTAAAGATAGAAAGGCAAGGGAGAAGAGAGGGAGGGAGGCAGGAAAGAGGGCAGAAGGGTTAAGGGAGAAAGAGAAAGAGAGAGAGAGGGAGGAGGTAGAAGGAGAAAGGCAAAGGAATAGGCATATCGATAGATAGATAAATAGTGAGAGAGAGAGAGAGAGAGAGAGCGAGAGAGAGATAGAGAGAGAGAGAGAGAGAGAGAGAGAGAGAGAGAGAGAGAGAGAGAGAGAGAGAGAGAGAGAGAGAGAGAGAGAGAGAGAGAGAGAGAGAATATCCGAAGATCGATCTCGTGTTAAACGAGTTCTCGGATATTCTTCTCGACTCTGACCAACAAATAACTCCCCTTCTCTCACTTCTAGATATTTTTACCCCTCGACCCCCCTCTCTTTACACAATATTCTTTTCTCATCACCTGCTTTCCGTGTACTTGTTGTTATCCGTGTTTCGTAGTCGTGTGTTTGTCTTTAGATGGTTCCTGGTTACATTTCCCGACAAAACACTTTGGCTTAAACGTAAATTACAGTGATATCAACTGTCGTCTGGTCTGTTATCTAGATTGTTGATTGACGTCACTTGAATCCCGTTTGTGATGTATAACTAGTATTCCGAGATGCAATTGATATTTTGCAATAGAGTCACATGTAAGTACCCAACGGTTCTCAAGGGCATTGGCCATTCGACAAGCTAGTTTATTTCATAAATGTATTGATAATCGCAAACTTCAATCGCAAATTTCAAATTCTGAATGTGTTTTTTTTTTGTGTTCATGTATAATAGGGCGAAAAAAAAACTAAATTTTAGTAAGAGGTTTTCATCAATAGTTAGTAATAAATCGACTTCGAAGGTCAGACTTTGTAATAAACTCAGTACAGCCTGTATCACCAAGCTACATAGTAGTGCATGCAAGAACAAAGAAACATGTGTCGGAATTTCTTGAAAAGGTGGCCTTCTATCACGATCCTTCAGTGTTATCTTTGGCGATTTTCACCCTCATTTAACTCAGCTGACTTTTAAAACCTCATATATTTAATTTTTAAAATCGAAAAAACAACGCACTCGATGTAAACTGTGACTCCTTGATTTTTTCCCCTCTTTTGGGTATGCCAAGAACACTCGACAATATGTAGCACAACGTTCTAGTATGTACTCCTCAATATCTGCTTCCACTGCACTCGTGTTATCTCAAGGGACGGTCGCTAAGGAATCTAGACACGTATCACACCGAGTCTGGCCTAAGATTATCTGTTTCTTAATTCTACCACCAAGACACAGTATCTGGTCTGACTTATTACTTACTGCCTTCTAATAACACTCTGTAATAGATTAGACGTACCTGGAATGATAGGTCTTGTATTTCTTAGCTATTTACTATAAGATAATTAAATTTAATCATAAACTATAGTTTGGCTTTGCCGGTTAGGAGAAAAAAAATGTAGATAAAGAAAGAGAGAGAGAGAGAGAGAGAGAGAGAGAGAGAGAGAGAGAGAGAGAGAGAGAGAGAGAGAGAGAGAGAGAGAGAGAGAGAGAGAGAGAGATGGAAAAATAAAGACAAAATCAATGGATAGATAGATGACCTGTAAAGTAGACAGAAATAAGCAGACAGATACTGGACGAGATATAGGTCAACATACAGACAAACAGAGAGAGAGAGAGAGAGAGATTGAGAGAGAGAGAGAGAGAGAGAGAGAGAGAGAGAGAGAGAGAGAGAGAGAGAGAGAGAGAGAGAGAGAGAGAGAGAGAGAGAGAGAGAGAGATTGGAGACAGAGGGAAAAATACCCATTAGGCCAAGCCAGACCTCGTTTCAGTGACAACCTTCATTTGCCCATACCCTTTCCATTTGTGATTTTTTTTGTGTGTGTTTTGACGAGGAATCGACATTTGTCGTTATTAAGTGATAATGAAAAGACAGGTCGAATATGGAGTATTTTATTGTATGTTCGTAAGCTTTCTAAATAACTATAATTGCGCTCACACAGACATACATACAGACAAGCAGACAGACAGCCAGACAGACAGTCAGACAGACAAACACACACACACACACACACACACACACACACACACACACATAGCTATAGAACATATAAATGGACTAGATAAATCACCCTAATTTAACATCCGAATATCAGATCAGAAAAAAACAAACATCGTGCATCCATTATCATGGATCTGATCTTGAAATTATTGCTAGAAATAATAATAGTAGTAGTAACCCTACTTGTAGTAGTAGTAGTAGTAGTAGTAGTAATAGTAGTAGTAGTAGTAGTAGTAGTAGTAGTAGTAGTAGTAGTTGTGGTAGTAGTGAAGATTCATTCACAAATAACACTCATATAAAGTACGAGTTAAATGCTAGTTAACTCCTATTTCAAACCAACGCAACACAACACAAAACAGCAAACACACACACACGAAACTCAAACCAACCCAAAACCCACGCCCACGGAATCACACCAAAGTATTCTTCTTCTTCTTCCAGTGTCGCACCAGCACCGCCCCCACAGTGAGACAGCCGAGGGCGATCATCACAGACCAGATAATAGTCATCGTCGGAGTCCTCATCATGAACAGAAGGGTTTGCAGTTGACCGACCATCTCCTCTGGTACGCCGGCCGCCACTTCGAACCACATAAGAGGCATGTAGACTTCGGGCACTTCACTGAGGATGCTGTGGGTGTGGGGGGAAGGGGGGGGGATAGTAATGATAGTAAGAACGGCACTAACAACACTATTGGTAATAATAATAACAATAACAACAATATTAATAATGATAATGATACAACAACCAACAAGAAGAATCATAATAAAAAATAATCAATCATAACAATGACAACAACAACAATACTAATAATGATAATAATAATACAACCAATAATAACAATCATAATAATACTAATCATAACAACAACAACAAATGCAACTAACTCGATCTTTCCGCGCCCGTTAGCGTTTCCGGGATAAGGAATGACTAACATGTTGATCTGCATCCTCGCCGCCACCCACATGGGCGTCCCCAGCTCCTGTTGGTGGGGGGGGGAGGGTAAAAACATGGGGTTATTATTGTTATTGACAGTTTGTTTCGTTTGTCTTTACGTGATATATTTAGTTCTCAAGGAGGAGGAGGAGGAGGAGGAGGAGGAGGAGGAGGAGGAGGAGGAGGAGGAGGAGAAGAAGAAGAAGAAGAAGAAGAAGAAGAAGGAGAAGGAGAAGGAGGAGGAGGAGGAGAAGGAGGGGATGAAGGAGGAGGAGGAGGAGGAGGAAGAGGAACAAGAAGAAGAGGAAAGGAGGAAGAGGAAGAGGAAGAGGAGAATGAATATGATAAAGTTGTGACATAAACCAAAGAGAAAGAATTTTTAAAAAATCATAACAATAATAACAAAAAATGATAATAACAAAACACAAACCAAAGAAATAGATCATAACAACAACATCGCAACATCAACACCAATAACAAAACCAAACCAAAGAAAAAGAAAATAAAACGAAAAGGACAGAGAAAGTTCCCTTCGTACCGGGATCATATCCATAACGAAGGCGTGTCTGTCCTCTTGCGGATTGAGTCCCTCCACGGTGTCCAGGAGGTAAGGATCGGCGTTGAGGAAGTGAGGGAAGGAGATGTACGAGGGGGACCCCATTCGGCAGGATTCGCCGCTCAGGAGGCCTGTAGAGGGAAGAGGAAGAGGTGTTTTGTTCTGTGTCTTTTTTTTAGGTTTACGCACGCACACATACGCAAACACACACACACACACACACACACACACACACACACACACACACACACACACACACACACACACACATATAGAAGTACATATATTTGGTAGATAGATAGGTATGCATGCATGTATGAATATGTGTATGTATATACATATATATATATATATATATATATATATATATATATATATATATATATATATATGTGTATATATATATATATATATATATATATATATATATATAT